TGAGGTGGTGGGCGAGCTTGCCCGCTGACCATGACCCTGGGGCTTGGTGTGAGTGGGCTTTGATTTCTCACTCAGGCAGGCTCTGGAGGGCTTGGGATTGGGACGCCAGTCTGGAATGACAGCTCATGATTAAAAACTTGGCCTGTGTCCTGCTAGGGGACAGTGCAGAAACAACCATAGAGACCTTACGATGATTTGGAGAAGGTGGGACTGGGCCCCGAGTGCCAAAGTGCCTACGCTGTGGGGTAGCACAGTGACTGAGTGGCAGAGCCGGGACCAGAACCCCCGGCCCTGACCTCCCCATTCAGGGTTCTTTCCAGTCCAGCTCCGGGCGGATGCTCTCCCCTGACTCTCCCGATAACCTCAGGTCTGCCCACGTCACCGACCAGGCCTGAACCTAAAGAGAGTGCCCGGCATTTTTAGATAGGAGACGTCTGCCACCTGACTGTGCTGGCCCCGTTGGCGGGAGCACCTGAGGACAGGCGAAGGGCTAAGCCAGCCCCTTTTCTGGGTTCCTCCTAGTCAGGAGTGCCTACAGTCATGAAGGGACCCAGCATTTAGGAGGAGCCCTGAGCTGGCCCTCCATACACTCGAGGTGGCAGGGCTCACAGCTGCCCTGCCGGGTGCAGGGACTCAGTGATCCCCTCTGCTGACCCAGAGGTGGGGTGACACTCACCCCAGGTCACATAGCAGCTGGAGCGGGCAGGTGCAAATGCAAGACATTAGCCGAGCGCTTGGGCATGACACACGGTTCATCGACAGCATGTCGCCTTCACACTGGGTCTGTGCTCCTTTGTGGCCTTGGACAAATTAGTGGAGCTTGAATTTATGCGACAGATTCCCCAACCTCTGGAAGGTATGACTTGGCACAGGGAAAGAAGACCCCTCATTCATTCTGTCTCCCCCTGTGTGCCACTCTGTCTCTGTGATATGTCTCTCTGCCTTGCTCTGTCTCTGTCTCTCCCTCTCTGTCACTCTTGTTCTCTCTCAGGATATGGGGTTGCTGATAGGCAGGCTCTTTTGACATCCCTCTTTCCCCAGCCTGGGGAGTGGTGTGACCCCTGAATCCTCTAGGCCTCTTACCCCGTGTTACAGGTTGGTGCCACTGGCAAGAATGGCTTCTCCAGCTGGTTGAATGAATGAAGCTGGGTGGTGCAGAGCCATTCCCTGTTACATCGAGATGCTTCCAGCAGTGTAAATACAGGCTAAATACATTGAAGCTTCGGGCTCCTTTCCATGTAGCCACCTACTGGGTGGTAGGCACCGGCTGGTCTTGGCCTTGACAGCTTGAATCAGACTCCTGGCTGAGGGGCCCTGACCCTTTCTTAAGCTTCAGTTTCTTCCTCTGTCCAATGAGGAGAACCAAGGGCTTGGTATGAGATTGAAGCAAGCCCCTGGCACAGTGGCAGGCACACAGTAGGTGCACACTTGTGAATGTCCTCTCTCTTTTCGTTGCCTAGACACTCTGCCTGAGCAGGGTAAAGGCAGAGTTGGGATGGGAACACGTGCCGTCTTGCAGAGAAGTCAACGAAAACGCAAGGCCGGGGACCTCCTGCCTGGGGTTGAGCCCTGACTCTGCCAATTCCCAGCTGTGTGACCTTGGGCAGACTCCTTCCCTCTCTGTTCCTTGATTTCCTCCTCTGTGAAATGGGGATGATCGTGCATTGATGGGCTGGTAAACGTGTGGTGGGTGTGGCTGTGCTTAGTGTGTGGTATATGTGCCTTAAAAATTTAATTCTTGTGACAACTAAACCTCTCCTCTCGAACCGTCCCTTCACAGATTTTCAATGAGCTGGAAGACCCACACACACCCCTCTCACTCAGGAACCTCACTTAAATATTCGATTTATGGGAAGGAACTTTTTAAAGCCACTGACAATTACTTAAGAGTTTAGAGCCACAAGCCGTATCCATGGCTGGGGCTGGGAAGGGCCAGGATTTTAGTCTTTCCGACCTTGTCTGCGTGATTTATCTAAATAATCCATTCATTTCATCCTGGTTCCTGCCTCTGGCTTGTATTTACTTAGAGCGATGTAGAAGAATCTATCACGGGCATAAAATAACCCTCAAAGGCGTGCCCTGAAATGTTTTCTAAAGCCAGCCCTGAAGTAATTTGCTAATGGCCTGCCTGCCTCTGTGTCCAAGGGATAAAGACGAGAAAGAGGGAAAACAAACACTTTGTCTCTGAGCCACAAAGGCAGGAAGAGACATGTTTGTGCTGCAGTCCCATATAAGCCTGAGAAACATGCCTGGGACGCCAGGGTTAGCCCAGGAGACGAGGTGGGCTCCCGTTAGAGGCCAGACAGAAAATTCCAGAACCCGGGAACAATAGCAGTGGCACAGGGGCCAAGACTGGAATAAAAGCGGGAAGTTGGGGGTCTCTGAGGCCACGCGGTGCTGCACAGAGAGGGCTTTGGAGTCAGACAGACTTGGACCTGAGTCTCAACTCGCCACGTGCAGGCTGAGTGACCTGGGCCACCTTAAATCACCTCTTTCAGCCTCAGTGCCCTCATCTGAAACATGGAGATTCAACCGGGACTTGTCTGACGGGTGGGTCAATGAGACAGCGCGGACTGAGCCAGCACAGCCCTGGCTGGCATGCAGGAGGTGCTGAGTAAATGTTCATTCCACGTTGCTTTCTGGGGGGGCTCAGACTGTAGTGTAAGTCCCGCCTTCCTAGAAGGCTTGACTGGTGCCTTAGGGAGCAAAGGAAGAACCTGGACGACCTCTGTATTTACTGTGTGCAGGCTTCCACGCCAAGCATAAGGTGTGTATAATTTGTGTGTCTTCATTAATTCACTCACTTTTTCATTCAACCGGTATTTATTTTTATTTAGTTACTTAGTTACTTAGAGACAGAGCCTCGCTGTGTCGCCGAGGCTGGAGTGCAGCAGCACAATCTCAGCTCACTGCAGCCTCCGCCTCCTGGGTTCAAGAGATTCTCCTGCCTCAGCCTTCCCAGTAGCTGGGATTACAGGCCCTCCACCACACCCAGCTAATTTTTGTATTTTTAGTAGAGATGGGGTTTCACCATGATGACCAGGCTGGTCTCGAACTCCTGGCCTCAAGTGATCCACTCGCCTTGGCCTCCTAAAGTGCTAGGATTACAGGCATGAGCCACTGCGCCCCGCCTATTTTTATTTATTTATGTTGGAGATAAGGTCTTGCCTTGTCACTGGGGCTGGAGCGCAGTGGCACGATTGGAGCTCACGCAGTCTTGAGGCCCTGGGTTCAAGCCATCCTATTGCCTCTGGAGTAGCTGGGACTACAGGCATGCGCCACCACACCCAGCCATTTTTTTTCTTTTGTGTAGAGACAGGGTCCTGCTCTGTTGCCCAGGCTGATCTTGAGTTCCTAGCCTCAAGTGATCCTCCCACCTCAGCCTCCCAAAGTATAGGAATTGCAAGCATGAGCCACCGCACCTGGCCCCCTCCACCAGTATGTATTTAATATATGTGTGTATGTATGTATGTGTGTGTATGTGTGTATGTATATATGTGTGTATGTATATGTGTATGTATGTATGTGTGTGTATGTGTGTGTATATGTGTGTATGTATGTGTGTGTATGTATGTGTGTGTATGTGTATGTATGTATGTGTGTATGTATGTGTGTATGTATAATGCGTGTATGTGTGTATGTATGTATGTGTGTATGTATATGTGTATATATATGTGTGTGTATGTATGTGTGTATGTATATATGTGTGTATGTGTATATGTATGTGTATGTATGTATATGTGTATGTATGTATGTGTGTATGTGTATATGTATATATGTGTGTATGTATGTGTGTATGTATATATGTGTGTATGTGTATATGTATGTGTATGTATGTATATATGTGTGTGTGTATGTGTGTATGTGTATATGTATATATGTGTGTATGTATATATGTGTGTATGTGTGTATGTATGTATGTATGTGTATATGTATGTGTGTATGTATTGAGATGGAGTCTCCCTCTGTTGCCCAGGCTGGAGTGCAGTGGTACAATCTTGACTCACTACAACCTCTGCCTCCCAGGTTCAAGCGATTCTCCTGCCTCAGCCTCCTGAGTAGCTGGGACTACTACCGCCCACCACACCTGGCTAATTTTTGTATTTTTAGTAGAGACAAGCTTTCACCATGTTGGCCAGGGTGGTCTCAAACTCTGAAGTGATCTACCCGCCTTGGCCTGCCAAAGTGGTGGGATTACAGGTGTGAGCCACCACACTTGGCCCCCTCAA